GGAGGGAGGGAGGCAGAGGGGAAGGAATGGATGGATGGATGGACGGATGGACGGACGGAACAGGTTGTCTCCAGTGGTTGTGGGTGCTCCGTCACTGGAGGTTTTCAAGAAGAGACTGGAACAGAGTTTTGTTTGAAATGGTAAAGAGCTTCCTGTTTGAGTAGGGGATTGGACTAGAAGATCTCCAGGGTCCCTCCCGGCTCTATTCTGATTGATGGATTTAAAAAAATATAGGGTCTGTGATTCAAAGCGGCTATCAGGGGATGCTTCAACCATTGGAATTACATGTTGATAGATTTTCCTCCTCTTCTCCGTTGCTGTGTATTTCCACTTTTGGATTTTATTTTATTTTAATTCTTAACACTGAGGGTTTACATTTTGGTAATTAGTGGTTTGCAACCGGTGTTTTTCTATAATGGGTTTTGTTTAATTGCTATATGCTGCCCAGAGTGACTTCGGCATAGATAGGCGGATGTATAAATTTGATTAACAAATAAATATTTGCCATTGTTGTGGATGTTATCAGAGCGTTGGCTTGCAAATTGGAAGGGCGGCTCGCTTTATTTGCCCAGCCCAGTTCAGGGCACAAAAAATGTTGGGCCGCATGTTTTGATATCCGAAAATTGGGTGTTGGAGAGAAGGGAGCAGATAGGTACTCTTCTACTTACCATTGAGCCCCAAGTGTCTGTCCTTAAGCGAGACATTGACTAAGTGAACTTAGTTTCACTGAATTTAGAGAGAGAGAGAGAGAGAGAGAGAGAAAATGTAGAGAGAGGAGAGAGAGAGAGAGAGAGAAGGAGAGAGAGAAAGGAGAAAGGGATAAAGAGAGAGAGAGAGAGAGAAAGAAACAGAAGGAGAGAGGACAGAGAGAAAGAGAGAGAGAGAGGAGAGAGAAAGAGAGAAAAGGAGAGAGAAAGAGAGAAAAGGAGAGAGAGAAAGGAGAAAGAGGTAAAGAAAGAGAGAGAGAAGGAGAGAGAAACAGAAGGAGAGAGAGGACAGAAAGAAAGAGAATGAGAGAGAGGAGAAAGAGAAGAGAGAGAAAGAGAGGAGAGAGAAAGAGAGAGAGAATGAGAGGGAAAGAGAGAAAGAGGAGGTAGAGAGTATGTATGTATGTATGTATGTATGTATGTATATCTTCTGCGAAAAAGGCCCCTCCCTCTGTCCTTTTTTTTTTCTTTTTTCAAATCCCAGGTGAACAGGTTCTCTTATCTACCTGTTTTTGCTCCAAAGGTTCCCGTTGCTCGTCCGTGCAATTTTTCAGGGTTAGCTTCTCCTAATCTTCCCATCTTCACACCAAGCAGTAATTTTGTCAATGCTAGCAGGATCCCCAAGCCTACGCTACATCCCAAACGCCCGGGCTGGTTCTGCCACTCACACCCCTAACTTCCTTCTGACGGAGGCATGTAAGCCCCGAGGACAAAAAAGGAGGGAAGGAAAAAAAGAAAAAAAAAGGAATGAATTTGTCCTGCCGTTTTCCTTACTCTTACATAACCACCTGGCTCAGTTGAAGTCCAATGAAGTTGGCATTTATAGGTTGGCATCAGAAATAGGCCTCCCTACCTTACAACCCATTTTCCACACTTATGACATCCCTCCAAATTTGGACACTTGGCCCCTGACTCATATTTATGACTTGTTTATAACAACGGCGGCTCCCTACTAGGTGCAAAGAGAAAATACACGCTGTTTACAAAGTCTGCACTACTATTACTATTAATCTTCTCATCACTCCTTATCGCCCATCCCCTCCCACTTGTGACTGTGTGACTGTAACTTTGTCACTTGTATCCTTACGATCTATATTGACTGCTTCCTAGTATGATTTGATATCTTATTGTACCCTATATCATTAAGTGTGGTACCTGATGATTGGCCAATAAAGAATTCTATTCTATTCTATTCTATTCTATTCTATTCTATTCTATTCTATTCTATTCTATTCTTCTATTCTATTCTATTCTATTCTATTCTATTCTATTCTATTCCATTCCATTCCATTCCATTCCATTCCATTCC